CCTTATACTGATGGATCTTTGTCGGCGAACAGCAGGCCTAGCACACCCATTGCCAGTATCTCAAGTGGGTAGCAGCAACATCCAGGTGCGGCTGCATTACATTGATGGTAATTATACGGTTCTTCCGGAGGTTGTTGAAGCATCCTTGGGCCCTCATATGCAGGTATCTCCCCCAGTCTCTTTCTTTCTTTCGTTCGTTCTTTCTTTTTTTTTTTTCTTTTTTCTTTTTCTGGTCATTGTTTTCAGTGGAATTAGTATCTTCAACAAGTTCCCCTTCTTTATTGGCTATGCAGAATATGCCACGGCCTAGAGGAGCTGATGCTGCTGGACTGTTACTTCGAGAGTTAGAGCTCCATCCCCCGGCTGAAGAGTGGCACAGGCGGAACATGTTTGGTGGGCCTTGGTCTGATGCAGATGATTTGGGCTCTATAGACGACGCTCCCAAGTTAAGTTACTCAGGTGACCCACTTGACTTCAGTTCATTGGAAACTTGCGATGCTTACTATGGGACTCGAGGGTTGTGGCCAAGGAAGCGCAGGATGTCTGAAAGAGATGCAGCTTTTGGCCTTAATACATCTGTGGGCCTCGGTGCGTATCTTGGTATAATGGGATCACGGAGAGATGTTGTTACTGCCATATGGAAGACTGGTCTTGAAGGGGTTTGGTACAAGGTTTGATATGAACTCTCCTACATGTTTTTATATGTTTGTCTCATTTTTTTTTTTCATTTCTCATCATGCGCTTATGGAAGTTAAAATCTGATGCTTCTATTTGTTAGCATTATAAGCATATTCGATATCACATCTATCTGGCAGTTTGTAATCTTGACTTGACGTTTGCAGTGCATACGATGTTTGAGGCAGACTTCAGCTTTTGCTTCACCAGATGCTACCAATCCATCTAATCAAAATGAACGTGAGGTTTGGTGGATCAGCCGTTGGGCTTACAGCTGTCCCATGTGTGGTGGAACTTGGGTTCGAGTTGTATAGCTTACCATGCCAATGTAACCGTACTATATAATGGGCTCTGTGATCTATCTCTTCCCTCTCATGAATTGGATGAGTTCAACTATGCCTCGACGTCATCGGACTTTAACTGAGCTCTGCAACAATGCTCTGAAGCTTTAAGTAGCAGCCAACAAGGAATAGGTATAAATCACTGCTTGATGGCCAACATTCACTTCTGATGAGCTCTTTGGTGAGGAAAAAAAGAAAAAAAAAAAAAAAAAAAGGGAGCAACTTCAGTTTGCTCTGTAGTAGCCAACAAACTTTTCTGTTTTTATTTATTTTTGGTATTTATGGTGTACATGAATTTTTAGGGGTGGGGAGTGGACTTTTCACCTGTTATTGAAGCTCTATACTAGAAATGAACCAAATATTTTCCTCAGAAAGCAGTAAGGATAGTTACGTGTAGTTAAGTGGAGGTACTGACTCATCGTAGCGTACTATACATGTCTAACATGAATTAGATTGAGGCGGATACCATTTTGTTTTTATTTTTTTTAAGGAAGGAGGATACCATTTGTAATAAAGGACATCTGTTTCCATAATGTTTTCTGTGTTTATATGCCTTTGTACTGGGAAGTTTTGAGATCCATGTATATAATTCCATGAAGCAAACAAGATTTTATTTTTTATTTTTTTAAGTTAAAGACAAAAGACGACCAAAAATGTTGAATTTGGAATTGCTCTTTGGCTTACATATGCAAGCAATTATTCTAATGAACTACATGACAAGGATAATTGTATATTTTTGCCATCCCGTAGTTCTGTGGTACTGGAAACCGTGATGATGTTTTCTTTAGTGGTACACCAAAGAGGATGTGTTCAAGCATTAGCAGTTTCCCTCAGCTAAAAATCTTTTTTTTTTTTTTTTTCCTTTCTGCCGAGGAAAAAATAAGGGAAAAATGGGAAAGCTGAAAAGCATCACTCACAAATATAAGGAAGAGTCGGGGAAAAAAAAAAAACTTGCTTTCCATGTTTTATTTGTTTTTTTCAATTTTTGGATGGAAGGCATTATATAGGGCGTGTTCACTTTGCTGATTATAATTTGTGATTTGAGTTGAGTGTATAGATTAGAGTTAGAATTTAAATTGAAATTGAAACTAAAATCAAAAGTTAGTGTTTAAGAGTGTACATGATGATTCAAATCTTCTTCTCAATTCAAGTTATGAGGTGTTCACTTCACCAATTTCACAACTTTAACCACCACCTCTAATTCAAATAAGGAAATAAAAAAAAAAGCTGAATACACAGAAATTAAAAAAAAATGCATACTGCTAATTTCTAATAATGTCTGTATAATGTTGGTGCACAAAAATTTAAAAATTTTGATCCTTGAATTAGTTAATACAATCTAATATAACATGTTACAAAATAAAATATATCATACATGAATAACTGATATGTGTTTAGTTAGCAATTGATAGTGAGATGGCATTAATTGATTATATAAAATTATGAGATTATATTAGGATGAAAATTATTAATTTTTGCTAATGAAGATGAACCAACGGCCAACAAGTACATAACGCTCGCAGATCAGCCAAAAAAAAAAAAAAAAAAAAATCCTCGCAAACCAGTTTCTCAAGAGAGAAAAATTGAGAAACAGTGAGAATCAGAGAACAAAAGAAGGAAAGAAGGAAAGAAGGAAAGATGAGCAGCGACCATGGCGGAGGGGGGTCGTCAGGATCGCATTCGCTGGCCTTCAGGGTGATGAGGCTGTGCAGGCCGTCCTTCCACGCGGACCCCCTCCCTCTGCGTGTGGACCCCGCCGATCTCCTCGTCGGCGAGGACATCTTCGACGACCCTCTCGCCGCCGCCAGTCTCCCCCGCCTCCTCCACTCCAGTCCCGACTCCTCCGATCTCAGCTACCGCTCCCGCTTCCTCCTCCAAGACTCCTCCGACTCCATCGGCCTCTCCGGCCTCCTCGTCCTACCCCAAGCCTTCGGGTTTGTCTTTTCAACTCTCCATCTCTCGAATTTTCCTGGTTCTTTTGGTCGGAATCGAATCGATCGCTTATTCGAGGAATTTTGTGCTGGTTGCTTCTTGTTTTAGGGCGATTTACTTGGGCGAGACGTTCTGTAGCTACATTAGCATCAACAACAGCTCCAATTTCGAGGTCAGGGACGTCGTGATCAAGGCCGAGATTCAGACCGAGAGGCAGCGGATTCTTCTCCTGGACACCTCCAAGTCGCCGGTCGAATCCATACGCGCCGGAGGCCGATACGACTTCATCGTCGAACACGACGTCAAAGAGCTTGGCGCTCACACGTAAAATTCTCCATCTTTTTCCACATTTCTTATCCATTAAGTTGTTTAGTTGAACGAAGTGTTGTTTTACTTGTGAATTTTAGGCTGGTTTGCACTGCATTGTACAATGATGGCGATGGCGAGCGCAAATATCTTCCACAGTTCTTCAAGTTCATCGTCGCCAATCCGCTTTCAGTCAGGACGAAGGTACCTGCAATGCAAGTGATTTTGAAATAAACTTTGACGTCTTTTTGAATTTTTACTTCTTCTTTAGTGAATGTAGAGTTGAACAGTCTTTTGGTTTCTGTTTTGCAGGTTCGTGCTGTTAAGGTATGCCAATGTCAAACTGACTTTCTTAATGTTTTTTCATTAAAAATTTTCATTACAGTTATCTGAATGCCTATAAATGCAAAACTTTGTATGCGTCATTTCATTTTTTTTTGGGATAAAATCATTTTGATATGCTGTGTTATAGCAAAACATGTTTTTGATATCTTACCTCGACATTTTTAAAACATCTTTTTAGGACCCTAAAGCTGATTTTTGAGATATGTAATGTCCAAACTACCATTCTTATTAATTAAATAGAAATCAATATTTTTTAAAAAATCTGAAAATATTTTAAAACATTAAAATATTTAAAGAAAACAACAAAATAAAAAAGTTTTATGAATTTTTTCCTAGATTTATTAGTTTTTGGTTGATTAAATTGAAGTGTACTATGGTCATTTTACATCTCAAAAATTAGCGTAGGGTACCAAAATGTTTTTAAAAACGTCAAGGTACCTTTTTAATATTATAAAAACACAGAGTATTAAGAGCATGTTTCACTACAACACGGGATACCAAAATGATTTTATTCATTTTTTTCCATCAATAATCTGATTTCTGCCGCAGGAAGCTACATTCTTAGAAGCATGTATTGAAAATCACACAAAATCGAACCTTTTTATGGATCAAGTTGAGTTTGAACCAGCTCCACATTGGAGCGCAACAATGTTGAAAGCAGATGAACACCACACTGAAAGTAATTCTCAAACAAAGTGAGTGGCATGTTTTATCTTTAAAAGTGTAACATTCACGACCGAACACATGACTTGTCTTTTCTTGTTCTGCTCAACTTTGTTTTTCATATGATTATTTTTTTTGTTTCTATTTTTTGTATTACATAAGAGAGACAAATAAGCCATCAGTTCTCATCAAAGCTGGCGGAGGAATCTATAACTATCTTTATCAGTTAAAGTTGTCATCACAAGGTTCTGCACAAATGAAAGTTGAGGGAAGTAATGTTCTTGGTAAACTACAGATAACATGGCGAGCTAATCTTGGTGAACCTGGTCGTCTTCAGACCCAGCAAATCCTGGGCAATGTAAGTGCTTACCTTCAACGGACAATGGTTAAAAAGAATATCGTGAGATTCTTTGGGGTCTGTTTGTCTTCTCTGTGTTTGTCTAAAATCTTCTCGATGTGAGATTTTGAGTCATCTCAACATGTCATGCACAAAATTGGACGTTTGACTTACATATGAGATTTCCTACATGCACAAAATTGGACGTTTGACTTACATGATAAATTCTTCTGCAGCCCATAACGCACAAGGAGATTGAGTTGCATGTTACGGAGGTTCCTTCTGCTGTCACCTTGGAAAGACCATTTTCGGTAAAATAAACTTTGCTCGTGTCTTTATTTTTTTAGCTCTGATTTTCTTGGATAAAAATTGGAGTTTTCATTATAGATGCGTCTGTTCTTGCAGCCATACTTTTCTTCCTCTTCATGTCATTTTTTCAATTGCGAGTCACCGTGTAAAGCAATTTGGACTGATGCAAGAAAATTCTTCTTGCAGTTACCCTTGAACCTGACAAACCAAACTGATAAGGAATTGGGCCCCTTTGAAGTTTGGCTATCGCAAGATGGTTCACTTGAGGACAAGGTTGTCATGCTTAATGGTCTACAGAAACTGGTAATATAATGCTATTGGCTTTAAACACCTTTTTGTTTTATGTTTATTTTTTCCGTGGCTCTTTCTGCCATAATTTAGAGTCAACATTCTGGTTAAGGACTTTCTTTTATTATCCCTTGGTATGTCTTTGCTGTATGATTGACATGTTGGATACTGTCACTAGTCAGTAAAGATGCCAATGTTCAAAGGTAAACTCAATAAGTGTTAGCCGTTAGACCCTCACCACATTTTTAGGGTCTGCGGCATGAAGCTTAAATCTTTTTGAGATTGGCTTTTAGCAAGCCTTGTAATCCATGTGATCGTGGTTAATATCTCTAGCAAGTTAAACGAATTTGACTCCATGGAATGTGGCTTGAAAGTGAATCACATAAATTGATTCATTTATCCTTGTTTCAAGTTTAAATGTCGATTGTTTTTGTTACTGACTTACTAATCTAAAACCCATGGCCATACACAGGTTTTACCAAGGCTTGAAGCATTTGGTTCTTCAACTTTCACTCTGGTATGATTTTGATGAAAGCCTTAAGTATTCATTACAAACTCCCCCCCACCCCATGTAACAATGTTAGCTAATGAACGTCTTAATTATACATTTTTGCTCATAAGGTTTCAGCTATTCGTCTATATTAGTGACACTATTTTTTTTAAGTAATCTGGTTTTAGTTTTTTCTCCAATCTCTATATTTAGTTATTTCTCAGCGCTGCCTTTGCATCTGCAGAACCTTATTGCTACAAAGCTTGGAGTTCAGAAAATCACCGGTGTTACGGTGTTTGATGCTATAGAAAAGAAATCTTATGAGCCTTTGCAGGACTTGGAGGTCGTTTTGCTGCTTTATTATGCAGTTTAAATATTTGTTATATACGTGTATACATTTTTCATATTTCAGGTAGATGTGATGCTTGATGATGCGAAGACGTACTGGTTCAATTGCTTGAGGAGCTGAACATGTCAAATAAACCTTTTGATTCAATTAAATAATTTTAAACTGATTACTCCAATAGTAAAGACTCACAATATAGGATCATATTAACTACTGTTTGACAAATTTATTACGTACATTACAATTTAAGATAGATTCAGTTTTTTCAAACTCTACTGGCCAGTTAAGCTAGTGGCAGCCCTTGATTCCTCAGATTAATTGCTGGTTTATTGTTTAAACTATACCTATATTGTTGAATTTCTGACTAGCCTTCTTGACTTGTTGCAGATTTTCGTGGATCTGGACTAATTATTGGGCAGCTTTCACTAGCTGAGAATGCAGATTCTCTTCTTTTTTTTTG